AGTTTAATGGACTTAGAAGTTAGCAGGGAGTTAGCTTGCTAGTTTCCATCTAAAGATGATATGCAATGTCTGAGTGAGGGAATTCTGAAAAACTAAAACGTACAACTCTGCTATCACTTCGGACATAAGTGAAGTGAAAACTAAAAAGCAGATGTTTGTATGATAACTGAAGTTGGGCTAGCTGGTATTTAATGGTGTGCTATGTGGTGGCTAGATACAGAGCTATGGTTAGGATAATATAAACACATTAGCACAGTGAAGCTGAACTTTTATCCCCACAATAAAAGTCAGCATGAGAGTTCCCAATGGGCAGAGACAAATGCAACTGGATGGCAGGAAAAAAAAATCTGAAAACCATCCAAACTTCAGTCAAGAGATCACTTGAGATGATCCATCCCCAGCATGAGGTTAGTCATTATTAATATTCTGCTGTTCGCTGTTGAAAATTCCTGATCCTCAGCTTAATTCACCCATTCAAATCTTTCTTAGCCTCAGAGTGATTCTTTTCTGACCTATTCAAATGTAATTAATTCAGGTATAATTACATACTGTCATGGTCCTGGGTCGGTGACCCAGCGCTTTAAGTTTATTATTATCATTTTCTAGTTTATTATTATGATGATTATTATTGTTTGAGTTCTCTTCGGTCTGCCTCTGAGTCTGCGTCTGTATCTCTGTCTGTCTATGGTGTCACCCCGTCTGTTTGTGAATCTGTCTGTTCAGTTCAGCGTCTTGTCTGGTTCCCTGTGTCTGAGTTTCCTGTTTTATTGTGAAGGTCTGTGTCTTATGTGAGTGTGCTCAGATTACTACTCCCTTGTCTTGTCAGTTCTGATTTCTCCCAGCTGTGCTCTCCTTCTGTGTCTCATTCCCCTCGTTACTTCCCATTGTATTTAAACCCTGTGTTTCTCAGAGTCAGTGTCGCGTTGTCCCTCATGCTGTGTGGATCTCCCTGTGTCTCATGGTTTGTTGTTTCCCAGTTTAGTTTAGTTTGTATGTTTTTCCTGCCAGCCAATAAAGCTGTGACTTTGAGTTAACACCTTGAGTCTGAGCGCCTGCATTTTGGGTCCACATCTCCTGCCTGGCACACAGCGGTTCATGACACATACAGGTGTAATTATTGTAATTATTCAGATCAAAAACCCAGACAGGCCAATTGTGATCATTGAGTATTTTAGTACCTTGTTCAGATTAAATAGAACAAGATACAAAGCATTAACACACATTAAAAAGACAACCTTAATGACCTTAACACAGTGTAGTTTGGACCTGGAACCAGGCTTTATATGTCATAACTTGACACCTGATGGTTGTGAACAAAGAATTTCAGGAGAATCAGGTTTGCATGTATCTATGGAGAGAGAGATGCCATGAGTGAATGACATATCATTTCACTGATCCACACAACCTGGATATACAGCAACGGCTGTTATTCTGACAGGAGAAGTGTAGTCGGATGATAACAAAGAGAGGGAAGGTAGTTAGTCAGAACTGAAGGGATCGAACTACCAGAAGGCAACATTGCAGACACAGAGGACAGCTACAAGTACCTGGGGATCCCACAGGCAAATGGGAACCATGAAGAGGCCGCTAGGAAAGCTGCAACCACCAAGTACCTGCAAAGGGTCAGGCAAGTCCTGAGGAATCAGCTGAATGGTAAGAACAACATCTTGGCTATCAACACCTACGCCCAGCCCGTGATCAGGTACTCTGCTGGGATAATAAGCTGGCCAAAGGAGGAGATAGAAGCCACTGACATCAAGACCAGGAAGTTCCTGGGCATGCCATCGGTTGTGGCCATCTTCTTGATGTACTTGTGGATGTTCGTTGTCATGGTCATCCTGGACCATGGTACTGACACTCACTAGTCCCCGGCCTCCTTCTTTCTGCTTAGCGTACCCCCTCAGGGTGTTGGACATGGGCGACCGCATGCTCAGTGAATACCTCAGGCAGCAGAAACCCAAGAAAGAGGCCCCCCTGGACGGTATGCACCACCAGCAGATGGAAGTGGCTGACATCCAGAAATCCTACCAGTGGCTGGACAAAGCTGGACTGAAAGACAGCTCAGAGGCACTAATCATGGCAGCACAAGAACAAGCTTTGAGCACAAGATCCATAGAGGTTGAGCTCTATCACACCAGACAAGACCCCAGGTGCGGGCTGCATAAAGATGCCCCTGAGACATTACAGCACATAACAGCAGGGCGCAAGATGCTGGCGGGCAGAGCATACATGGAACGCCATAACCAAGTGGCCGGCATAGTAGACAGGAACATCTGTCCTGAATATGGCCTGGAAGTCCTGAAGTCAAAATGGGAGACACCTTCTAGGGTGGTTGAGAATGACCGAGCTAAAATTCGGTGGGACTTTCTAGATATAGAAATACAGAATAGCGGTGGCTAACCAAACGGACATGGTAGTTGTAGACAAGCAGAAGAAGATAGCCGTTGTGATAGATGTAGTGTTGCAGAATGACAGCAACATCAGGAAGAAGAAACAGAAGAAGCTGCAGAAGTTCCAAGGGCTCAGAGAAGAGAAGATGTCGAGGGTGAAGGTAACAGTGGCCCCAGTGGTAATGGTGCAGTGACTCCCAAGCTAGGCGAGTGGCTCCAGCAGATCTCAGGAACAACATTGGAGATCTCTGTCCTGAAGAGCGCAGTCCTGGGAACAGCAAAGATGCTGCGCAGGACCCTCAAGCTTCCAGTCCTCTGGTAGAGGACCCAAGCTCAGCTCACGGAGTGCAGTCAGGGCTTTGAACTAGGAAGCTCACAGGCTAAGGAATGACTAATCTGTTGTGACTCTGTCAGACAGTGTTGGGGTTGTGCTTCCAAAAGTGTGTGTTAATGTGTAATGTGTTATACATTATTCATTAGTCAAGGTTAAGATTACTGAAGCCAGAAAATCAAAACATATTCTGGGTATCTTGAATTCGTTTTGTAGTACAGCCCCTTGATGTGGGTCTCAGGTTCTTTACACTAAGTATCTATTTTTAATGTAGGACTTTCCTATGCTAAATAGTTATTCTTTAATTGGAGCTTTATTTTTATTTGGAACTTGTTTTTTTAAAATTAGTAGTTAGCTCCTGGGCTGATGTTTTTGTGTTGAAACCAGAATTAGCCTGAGCAGTGAAACTAAAACTTCAGCATTTAATGTTTGTTTCTGGTCTTAAAATACAACGTCTCAGTTCACATTAAAATGAGGGTTACTGCCAAAAAGAAAAGGGAAGCATAATCTCACACTGAAATAGTGTAAATTTCCATCCATCACTTCCTGTTGGGGAAATGTGACCATTAAACCAGTTTCGCCTGAGCAGCTAGAACAAATCTAAAATTTCTTGAGCAGTCTTGAAATGATCAGCTGTATTGCACTTCTTTCTTGTTTAGATGGGTTTACACGATACCATAACTACTATCTGACAGTAAGTTAAGGTTCATCAATGAGGTCGATCAATGGAGCACAGCCCTTTTGCATAACGTCCCTAAGAAAACCAAACATTAGATGTAATGCTCTATTTGACTTCTATTACATATTCTATTTCCTGTTATTTGCAGAGGACTTTCTGTCCTGTGTGTGTGGCAGGTGATTACTACATTTGTTATCGTGCTAAAATATAATTAATCAAACCAGACCAACATTTAAGAATGGAAATTTATTTCAACATCAGTAACAGTACATTCATTAAAAGGTTTCTAACAGTGTAGTATTGTAAAAAAAATACTCTCAACAGCACATCGTCTAGCTTGACAGTTTAAAAGTCAGAACATAGCAGGACACTTACAGTAGGATAGTCAATCACATTTTTTTTAACCAAGAGATGCAAATGGCAGGGAAAGACCACTGACCATTGATAAAATACCATACTTAATGGACTATAATGGCATCAGACACGCATAACAGAAACAGGAGAAATCAATATGACAGCATTAGGACTGCAAATCTGGGTTCATACACAGGGACATCTAAAAAATGAAATGAAGGAAAAATAAGTAGATTTGAGATTAGTTGACTCTGCCAGTCCATCCATTTTTATATCAATACAAAATGGACTCAGTAGCTTCACAGTGCTTTATCACAAGAGTTTCTTTAGCTGTCTCTCTGCTTTTAACACTTCCCATCTATCACCCAGCTAAGCAAAGGTTGTTGTCACAGCTGTTAGTGGAAAGTTCATACTTGCAAAATATGTGCTGTCTGAAAATGAGAAAAGAGGAAGAGGAACTTCTTTTACTCTTCGGACTTTCTTTCTTATATTCTTCTAAGTTAGACACGTAAGAGGATTTATGTGTTTTTTTTTATTTTTTAGCCAAGCAGTGACGGGCATGCCAGGACATTTAGACTGAAGTTCTTTAAGCATTAGCAGCGCAGACCGTGTTTTGTTTCCCTCGAAGATGAGGAACAAAAGAGAATTCTGCAGATTTTAGTCTCTTCAGCTGGTCATACAGGAGGGTGTTTTGGCACTGTGAAAATGGGTTGGTAGGTGTTAGAAAATGTTAGAAAATGGTTGACTTTCTAAGCCTGACTGTCAGGCTGGACAGTTTTCCACCCAGTTGCTAATACCTGTGATATACCCTGTGCTTACATTAAAATTTCCACTCAGACCACAGCAAATATGAAGATTTTAGCTCCATGGTGACATGTGGAAAAGACTTATTCTGATAAAGAATGTCACATGTTTGTGTTATTTGTATTTATTCTTTGTGCACAAATCTTTTTCATCATTTTAGGCTTAATGCCCTGATGAAAATGAAACCTTTGTGGTTTACTAACCAAAACCAACAGCCACTTATATAATACTCTACTAAACATTAAACTTCATATATAACAGCTGGTGAAAAGGGAAGTTGTAGAGCTTTACAGCCCACTGCTCTAAGAAGGAAACATGGCCTGAAAAACCTGAACTAGTTATGACCACAGGGATGTTAAAAATATAACGCGGCAGAAAATGGTGGAGTTTGGGTGAAAAAGTTGCAAATACAAAAGACTGCTACAGTGTGTAGTTCTTTTGAAAAGCACACCTTCTGTCAGAAAGGATGTTTGGTACCAGGTGCCACTTTAGCTTGCTTGACCCAATCTTAACATTAGCCAGTGTCCTATGGAAGTTGGCATACTGCTGCATCCTCACTGTCAGTCAGGGCTTTTGTGTCATGCTTACTTAAACCCCACTCTCTGGAAACTAATGGAATGAATTCCCTTTGACAGACGTTTTACTGTGTCTGCTGGATGTTCACAATGCCTATGTTCCTTAGGGGCAGTTGCTGCCCCCAAGTGGACAAAAACTTTAATTTACAGCTGATAAAAACAAAACAAAACAAAAAAATTTTGGCAGAAAAATTCAGTTTAATCAGTAGAAGCCCATTACCAAATAGTCTTTGACGACTGGATCACATGACTACTTGGATGAAAACAGTTGCTTACTGCAGATAATAATAACCCGATGGTGTAGATTCTGTTACTGTAGCAATCTGGAGTTTTTGTTAGAATTTAGCAAGTAAAATATTCATTTTACGGCTGACAACTGCACTGAAAATACAGTTTTGATTTGCCATTCTTATCAGTTTAATATTTAGCCACAGCAGAGAGCTGTTCTAAGGAAATGAAGATCTATACCCACAATGTACTTCCTACCATGCAGAAAGCTGTCTGTGAAAGTAACAGAGAGTTTAGCAGCTAAAGAGTCAGATATTTCCCTTAGCAATATGTGGAGAACCAGAGCTAAATCAAAAACTATCCGGCTAGACTCAGAATCAGATTGGCTGATGATGGCTGTACTCTGTTTCTCCTCTCTGTAAATTATACCTGTACTGGCTTGTTGTACTTTTTACTCTGAAATGGTTAATGAAGAGTTCTTGCAAAATTACCAAGTCAGTGTGACATCCTCTTTATCTAGGGCTTTTCCTCTGATCTCATTGTGATTTTGAGCTTCCTCTCCCGATGGTTGTCTGGGGGGAACAAAAACAGAAAGCATTTCAGAGTGCTTTTTTTGGGTGAATGACAAATAACAGAATTAGAACTCAACAGAAAGTAGTAGTTCATGAGAAGGTAATAGGTTTTTAACTTAAAGAGAGGTCGGATCCTAAATCATCAAAAAAACAATCTGGATATGTTGGAAAAAATCTGTTTGTCAGACACAAGTGCAATTGAGACATGAATGTGAAACAACTGGTTGTATTTATGCCATACTCCAACAGGGCGAGAGACAAAGAAAGTAATCATTCTAACTGACATGGCGTCACAGCGGGGTGCGCCGGTGTGTTTTTTGAAACAGGACCCAAAAGCAGATGTGGACGAGGAGTTGCTGGTTTAAATAGAAAGCGATCCTTTACTTGGATGATAGCAGGAGTTAAACATGGAACACTAAACAAACTAAAAAACCACTAAGAAACAAAAACTATTAAGTTCTATGACAATGACTAAGCCAATGGTGGAGATAACAGACAACCTGACCACAACATTCAGAAAACAGAGGACTTAAATACACACATGAGGTGATCAGGGGAAGTGGAGACACATGAGAACACAGCTGACTAGAATGAAACATAATGACAATACAGGGGAGAGTAACACTAACTACAATGAACAAAGAACACCAGACTCTTACAAAATAAAACAGGAAACACTGAGACATAGACATAGAGATAAAACATGACATGAACTTAACATAACCACATAGACATGAAACATAGACGCAGGAACCAGGAAGACTGGGTACAAGGGGAGATGACAGAAATAACTAAGAAATAAGGTCTGAACAGCAACCTAGAAATTAACTAGATTGAAAATGAATACAAAAATACATAAAACTCAAACACTGGGTCACACGACCTAGTACCGTGACACATGGATTAAAAACTATCTACATTTTTTTCAGAAAAGTACTTTTTCTACGTTTTTTTACAAAAAAAGTACATTTTTTGTTTGAAACAAAGGGTTAAGCTTAAGAGCTGGGGTTGGGGCTATGCCAGGTAACGACTAAAGCAGAAGTTGTACTCTCTGGAAAGTGATAAAATGGTAGCTTACTACCACAGTCTGTTGATCTTTTTGATTAAACAGGCTGCATAGTGCAGTAAACACTTATTTCAGCCACTACTACCATATTTGCCTGAGTATGTCTGCACAATTATAAAGACCAACTCTTGGACCATCGCTTTGTACCAAGCTGACCAAAGTATAAAGTTTTCCACTCTATGCCGTAGTAGTGTCTCTTTTTCTTTGTGACAGTTTTCATCACATCTCATCAAAACCCGCATAACATTTGTGGTTTGGCTTTATTCCTGATTTTTCAGGTATGATGACGCATTGGCACACTCTGTAACTGGTTAACTTGCGCTTGAATCCAAGTGCGTATAGTTTAACTCACTTAAATGGTGCATCTAGGGAAACAGCCTTCCCTGCTTTTTTCACAGACACTGCGTCAGATTTGATTTAGATTTTAGAAAACTGAACTGTCAATTCAGTATTGACTTTTCAGAACTACAGAGCTAAAATACCAGAAAGAAAGAGACATAAATGCTCTGCAATCCCTTAGACAGCAGGCGATCTGTTCGCCCTACTCTGACCAAAGTGTACTCTAGTGAAACATCCCTGTTAGATCTCTGGAGAGCTATTTCTAAGAAACCTTTGAAAAAAAGAGAAAAGTATGGCGTAGTGATTAGTATGGAGCCTTATACTGAAGGTGATACAATTTACTATCCACATTGTCTTTTTGTTGTTGTTTGGTCATTTGTTGCTGTGTGTGTTTGTAAATAGATAAAATTAAGACATAAAGGTGACAGTTGTTGAGAAGGTTTTCCATCCATGCATCCATCCATGGCCAATTTAGAATAACTAATTAAACTTTTAATTGATGTATCAATTAAAACTTCCTCCCATAGTTCAAAGATCTGGACTATGGAAAACAACCCACACAGGTACTGAGAGAACATGCAAAATGTATGTATGTCTGTATGGTGTAAGGCAGCAGATACAAAACTTATGCACAGGCTGACAGACATAAAACTCTAAAAATATTTAGAAATGCAAAATGTAAACAATGACAAACAACAGCAACAATAATAAAAAAAAATTAATTCTGTCAATTTATTTAATATAAATTGCCAAGCCAAAGATATGGTGTAAAAAAGGCCAAAAGAACTACATTGATGATGACCTAAACTTAAACCTATCATTTTAGTTCTTTTTGACGTTACTCTCCCATTTTTTCCTAATTATCAAATGTCTTTTCATTATCAAAAGTACTTTTTCTCTGATATGTAGGGTTAGAATTGGGGCGAGGCGCACAGAAGTCAAAATGTATGTAGACCTCATGAGGTAAAAAAAAAGAAAAAAAGAAATCTGTTTAAAGCCCCCACTCAAGACAGAGATAACAAAACTGAAGAAAGGAAAAAATATCTGAAAATAAACAGGTGATTACTGCTGTCTGTGTTGGAATCTCTGTCTGCATCTGTCTCCACAGATGCCCTTTTCCTTTTGGAACCCTGATTGCTTTCGTGTCCTGACCGGCTGGCTTCCTTCTCCTGCTCATCAGAGCTGGTTTCTGGCTCATCTGTCGCCGAAGATGTCTGTTAAAAAGAAAAGGATGCACAATTGTTCACAAAAGAAAGAAGTGTATATGAACTAAAGTCAGCTGTTTTTGGTTGTTGTTGTACTTTTTCAATAAAAATTGTAATACAAAATGAGTTAATGTGCTAACAAAACCTTCACGTTCTCTGTTTTGTTTGGGCGAATTACCTTGCCATTTGATGATAAGGAATCTTGCTTTTGTAGAGCTGGGTTCAGAGTCTCCAACACCACTACTGCTACAAAAACATAATAAAAACTATTCACTTGTGCATTGTCAATTTTTAGTAACCTTGGTTTAAAAGCAATATTTGACTGAATTTCAGGAAAAATCACAGAGACATCCTACTTTACCTGGCCGTAATGATAGAGTGAGGATAGGCACCTTCTTCCCCTTGCTTTCATCTGTCTTTCCATTCACCTCCTCTTTCTGATCCTGCTCTCTGACTACCTGCAGGTAGAACATCCCCACACCATGAATTTAATTTGCCCCCACTTTACTTCAGCCTCTTCTAATTTTGTTGTAAGAAGTAGAAGACCTTAAATTACCTTGTGGTTAGGATCCTTGTCAGGTGCTTGCTCTTCTGTCGTTGCACATGATGATGAAGGAATGACAATAGATGAAGATGATGATTCTGCTATGTCTGCAGAAGAATTTGTGTTTACTTCCAATTCAGGGCTCTTTTGAACTCTTGTTCCATCTTGTAAGGCTGAGGATGAATCACTTTTTGGCACTTGACTGGATATGGACTTCCCCCGATCAGATAAGTCCAAAGGCCCATCATTTAACTCTTTTAACCCTTCTTCAGACACCCTCTCAACCTTGGGTATCAGGTTTTCCTTTTTCTCTGTTTTCTCTGTGGGCTTTGTTTGAATCTCCACATATTCTGGCAGATTTGTCAATCGGAAAACCACAGTTGGCTCTCTGGCAGGGGGCTGAACGCTGCTCTGCTTAGGAAACGGAGGACTAAAAACCTGCCTTCTGGGGCTGGCCTGTTGTCTCATTGGGTTCAAGCTGTGAAAATGTTGTGTGTGTGGATTGGGTGAAGTTTGCACTACTGCATTGGTGCCGGCAGTAATCCAATCAGATGATTCAGATAGAGACCAGCGAAGAGAAGCAGAGTTGCTGTTGATTGCTTGAGGATGTCGGGCGACAGGAGCATGGACAACATGTCTGCCGGGTCGCACATCCCCAGCAGCTGGGACAGAAGATCTCCTAAGCAGAGAATTAGTAGGCATGGAGGAACACTGGTCGAGTCCTTCAACATTTTGAATTCTAAGGTATGAGAAAGAAAGTCAAGTCTGTAGGAAAATCTTTTGGCAGTTAAGGTTTAATTGGTAATGTGATGCAGTACTTATTTTTCTTCAGTAATGATTAGAGCAGAAGCTGCCTCTTGCCTTGTTATAGCTGTAATTACTGTAAAAATGGATGAATGGATGGATGGATGGTTGGATGAGGACAGTGGTTCCTAAATGGTTTGGTGTATGAGGCTATGAGGCCGTAAAATGTTGCAACAGGTGCACATCATGAATAAAATAACTAATGTGTTAAGGAGCTCCTGTAAAATGAAAGCCAACTTCATTTTCACAGTTCTCAGATGGTAAGAATTAGGTTTGTGTGACACATCAATAGCCCCGACTGGGAGCACAAGTATACTGTCCCAAGCCCAAATGTGTTATCTGAGGGAAGATGTTTGCTCAGGCCAGGAAAACTAAAGAGGCCCAAATCTTGGACAACTAAAGTCCCAAATCTTAAGCAGAAGTGGAAAGATTATTTGTTGGATTGGTTGAAAGTGTCAGATAAGGCAGTGGTGAGAGGTTGGGAGGGGGGAGGTTCTATTGCAAAGTAGAATAAACCTTATAAAACAGCAGCAAGACTCTTGTTATTAAAATAAGAAAGGAAAATAAATTGAGCTTAAATTACCCCATACAGATGTTGGCATAATGACTCAATACAAGAACAAAATTGTAGTGGAGTGAATGAGGGAATGTCTGAAAGGTGATGTAGTTGTTCATTTTTGGCAAGTAAAGCATGCAAACTGTAAGTTTTGTGTTCTCCTTAACCTTTATGGATCAATACTGGTGCCGAAATGTGGGAAAGTGTAATATTCAGACTCTATATGTAGAAAAAAGTATTGACTTTGGAGCACATAATCACTAATTTGATGAATCTGCTGTTACTCACAGTACATATCCTCATACAGTGGCAGATTAGCCCATTTCGTGATTTCCTATGTCTTACCTCTTCTCTCCAGCACGAGTCACAAAGTGTTCTTTCTTCCATGACGGCAATGTGAGGGCTGACAATGGAAGAGCATCCTGTTTGAGCAGAGAAGGGCATGCAGCAAAAGAAGTCACCATATTACATTAACCAATGTTTTGTCAGTTCAGAGAACAATTTTAATTATCCTCAAACATTTTTGGTTTATCTAATTTGTAAATGCAAAATCTGTAGCTAGTTAGCTTAGCATAAAGAAAAAAAAAGAAAGAAAATAAACTAAGCTACCTAGGTAGCTGTCTTTGTACCCATCACAGAATAAATAGAATAAGACAAAATATGTTAATATTTAAGGTTGAGGAGAGCTAGGATTTCACTATTTTCAGTCTTTAGCTTACTGTGTGCACTACCTAAAGCAACATTTTGGCTCGATTTTGAGGGTAATGCTTTACAGAGGAGACCAGAAAATATAATGTAATCAGTCTGATTCATAGTATTTCATGTGCTAAGCTTGTACAAGTTGCAGGTAAAAGGCAATGGGAACTTCCAGAAAGAAAGGGAACAATCATAAATCTATGATATGAGACTCAATGACGGAGTGTTGTAAAGAAGCAGTGTACATGTGTATAGGCAGCTTCTTATTTAAAGTGTCATTGTTAGTGTGAAAATGGACTAATGGACTTTTCTGTATTTGCTTTTTCATTACTGAGCTGCATCACCAAGTACAACCTTATATTATCATAATAACCAGCCTATTGCCAAAATGTCCTTTGGAACTTGTAACTAAAATGTTAGCTAAGCTTAAGAAAAACTCCACATAGAGGGGTTAGGTACAACACAGTCTTACAAGTTCCTTCATACAGTATAATGATGGTGATATGAAAGCAACACATTTTTTGACATGTGGCTCTATCAACATCTGTAGCTCAAATGATTTGGAAAATCCACTGAAAACAGACTAATACTGACGGATAAAAAGAAACATAGCTGATCTTTCCCCTCACTCAGTCAGAGCAGATGGCTGACCAAGTGTCTGCTGAATGTCTCTTTTCATTAAAAGGGGGTTCTTCCTCCCAACTACTGCCAAGTGCTCTTTAGTATTGTAGTGGTTTTAATTTGTAATATAAATAGGCTTGAGAAAAATGTTGATGTTAACTGGTGCAGAGGAAAAAAAACTAATTACCAATATAAATATAAATAATGATAAATTTAAGCATTCATCTTAATGAAAAAATAATTAAGGTGAACAATACATCTTCTTGTAGGGTTTTATACGTTCAGTGGGGGACTGAAAAGCACCACTGAACGACACAGGAAATCATTCCTGCCTGTGGCCATCTCCCTGTACAACATATCCACTTAACACACTGTTTATGGCAACAGCTACACCCTTTTTGCACATGTTCTTCCTTTTTCAGCTATTTATTAATAAGTGACCTTTATGTATATATATGCCTGTATATATTGTACTATTCTTAGTTAGTGTATTGTCTGTCTTTGTTAATGGCTGTTTATAATGGAGCACTGTAACGAAAAAGAATTTCCCCTAGGGATCAATAAAGTATTCTGATTCTGATTCTGATTATAACCCATTCATGGTTGGTCAATGGTAAGATGAGGGATGTTTGGCAGTTCTAGAACTCTTATTTATCTATCATGTATGCATAGAATCATAGATACAATAATAACACTTGAAAGCTTTTTAAGACATCTTAGAGCTAATGTTCCATCACTGGTTACTGGGTAAGTTGTTGTCACTAACAGTGTACAAAAAACAACTTAAACATGTGTGTCTTGATTTTAGCAGAAATACATTTTGCTTCTTTTAAGCTCAAATATTATTAAATTCCGTAGAAAAACACAACAAGTTTTAGGTTGTGCCACATGCTTCTCTCATGTAATTCAAATGGCATCACTGTCCCTTAAGATGATGGAAAATAAGCATACATATTTTTCTGGTGGTAATTGTTTCCAATTTGTTCTCTTCACTTTAATATTATTTTAGATCTTATATCTTATTCTTTCATACCTATCTGCAAATTTGGATTATTTACACTTGGTGCTACAAGTTGTGATCTGAATCGTTTTGCTTAATAGAATAGTGCAACTAGCAATTAATTGAATACTGAAATTGATTATTATTCAAAACAAATGTATGATAAAAATATGAAAAAACAAACTTACAAACTGGCTTCGGTTGATTCCTCTTAACTGTCTGCCTTCGGTTTCTGTTTGATCAAAGCCGGAAAATGCATGAATTTATTAAGTAAGATGACAGAATATAATCACCACTATTGTTCATTTTTACCTTCAGTTTTCAGTTCGACATCAGGCTTTACTGAAATGTTGCCATCTGCTGGCTTGTTGCTTGGCCTGCTGGTTGTTGTATTAATAAGGGACAGGATTCCAGATGCGGGTGAAAGGGCAGGGGAAGAGTTGGGCTTGACCTCTGTGGTGGTGCTACTATTAGAAGAGTTGTCACTGTGACCTTTGCTACACAAACACACACACAGGCACAGAATGACGACGGTTTTAAATTTTGTCATGCATCAAAAAAATACAAATATGCCTAAAACAATGTTTCTCATAAACAGAAAATACTAATATAAGATGTATCAGCATTATTTTAAAATTAAAGATTAGAACAACTATATCGTTAAATAGCATCTACTCACTCAAGTGCTGCTTTTAAGTTTCTGTTTTCATCTTTAAGTTTCTTGTTCTCTTTTTTCAGGTTGTTCATCTCTCCAGCTGCAACACAAGCAAACGACATGATCAGAGTACACATCAATAGAATTGTCCTTAAACGGCATTTTTAGTAGAAAATAAACTGGGGAAACATTAATGGTGTCAAAGGTTAAAGAACAGACAGGAAATTCACTGTAAAGGAGTTTCGTAGAGATGCAAGATGGATAGATGGATTATTGAGTAAGAAGGCAGAATACCAAGTAGAGAGATGTGCTGGAGACTCTGAATCTGGGAGGCTTCAAATTCCTGTTGTCTTCTCTTGGCTACCTCTTGAGTGACTGTACATCTGTCACACAGCCCAGCCCTAAGCCTGCGCAGGCAGGAAGAAATCACTTAGTAGCACACCTAATAACTAGACTGATGTGACAGCAGCTCACATTATGCAACAATTGAAATGAGGTTTTTTTTCTTTGACAAAACTAAAAACAGCTGTAATTAGTCATTAGTTGGGTTAGTTGGTTTTTGAATTGCCAGTTAACCTAACCTCAAGCATGTCTTTGGATTATGGAAGTAAGCCAGCAGAAGGCACCCCTGTGGAGTGCTGGTTAGGACTGCAGCTTCATAGCAAAATGGTCATGAGTCTAAATCCAGCATGTTGCCTTTCTGTATTAATCAGTCTATATTAATCAATTTACACAAAAACTAGAGAGAACAATTTTATATAACTTACAGGTAATTAACAAGTACCTGTTGAATTTTGATGCTAATTTTATGTTATATGCGATCTCTTTCCAATAAAAAGAAATTACCATAAACATTAGATCACTTTTTGTTAGTGAGCAAACCACTTTATTTCTAGTGTTTTATACAAGAAAAGAAAAATGCAATGTAACATTGATACCTGTTTTCCAGAACCTTAATGTTTTCGGTGAGTAATCTGTGTTGTTCTTTCATCTGTTGGTTTCTGGTAAAAAGTTCTTCCATTCTTTTTGTGTCACTATTGACGCAAAAGAACACAAGGTGGTTAGGCTTCAATACTAAAAAAATGTGTTTCAGAAAGATTGTATTTCCTCATAGTTTAAATATTATCGTAAGCTTGTATTTCCGTACCAGCCTACATAATGTTCCTCTTTCCAAGAGAAAAGTAGTTATGTTATAAATGTAAGTTGTATATGCATCATATAGGTTATTATGGAGGTGGATGAAACAATGGTCTTTCATTATGTTACATCTCTCTTTACTTGTGTTCCAGTCACTGAAGCAGTGTAGGTAGTTCATAAGAGAGGTCTGTATCTTCATTCTAAATATTTGACATTCAAGGGCGAGTAGTACTATAGACAGAAACATGGATGTGCCATGGGGAAACATTACAGAGCGACTGGTTCAGGATACCACCAAATAAGAAAGACATTGTGATACAGAAATTGGATCCTTTATCATCTAGTGTAAGTGCCACCACATGGTTATGTTTTTTTTTTTGAAACTGCTGTTTTTTATAAATGATGCAGACCAAAATTGCCATTAGATTGGCTAATTCGGAGGCCCCCAAAGTGGGGGGCAGGTCCCTTTGTGGGCAGAGCCATTGCCTGGGGG